TAATTTTGGGAAGGGAAGACAGGGTTAAGGAACTTTATTAAAAATTTTTTTTTTTTCCTAAAAACTATAAAAGAAGAAGGGTTTCTTGTCCTGGGAAGCAATGGACATGATCTGCTCCCAGCCATGGCCTTCCAGCTTGTGTCCCTGACTGAGGGAGCTCTCCCTTCCCCCTCCTCTTCCTCCTCCGGAGGTGGGATCCCAGAGCCTGCCGGCGGAGGCTCGTCTCTTGGAAGGAAGACAGCTCTTCACAGGAAGCAAAGAACCAACTGGCATGGAGATCAGCTGCCTGGGCACCTGCGCCGTAGCTTGTCTGACAATGCGGAGGCCAGGAGCTCCTGGGTAGCTGTGATCAGGGACATGATAATCCGAGCTATGGAGAGGAGCACATCTGCTGTCAACCGCTGTACCCAGAAATCTCCTAGAACTCTGCCGACAGCCTCTCCTGGTGAGTCAGGACTCGGCTGAGGACAGACACATGCCCCCGCCGCCTCCCATCCAGCCCTTTGGACAACTGGCCCCTTCGTGACGGGGCAGACTCAAGTGTTAGGCAGGGTCTCAGGCCTTCGATTGCTCACCCCTGCTCCCCAGGCCCTGCCCTCACTTTTACCAAAGGTTCCCCCTCGGCAGGAGGGCATCTACGTTGGAGGTGACTTGTCTGGGTTCTTGCTTTTGGTTCCGGAAGGAACTGTCAGTCATCGGCATCTGCGTTGTTAGCAGTCAGTACCACCCCCGCCCCACAATGAGAGTCAAGGCTGACTTGTTGACTGAAGCCTTTTTCCCAGATTCCTTATTTCGAATTCCCAAGCCTCAGTCCCTCTTGGGGATGGGGACAAGAAGATGTGTGGGAAGCCACGGAAGCAGGTTCTTTATGTCCTTTCCTCTGCGGCTGGCAAGGCTCACCTGGCCTTATCTACCCCCTTATGGAACCTCAGGAGAGGACAGCTCCTCCTAAAGGCATGCAGCTTGCAACCCTGCTTTCTCACAGGCGTGATCCTAGTGTGAGAGGTCGTCCTGCCCTTGCTGAAGTTAGTAGTACTGTACCAAGAGCTCTGCCCCCATGTGAATTGCTGCCCTGGCGCCTCTTCCCTGGGGCTGAATCAGGCCCTGCTGCAGAACTCCAGGTTTCCCAGAGTTGGGGAGGCTGTGGGACCAAGGTCCCCGTTGGCCCTTCTGCTGGGTGCAGCAGGAGCTGGGTCCTGAGAGCCTGGCCGGTGAAACTGCAGGCCTTCCGCCTGAGGAGTATTTATTCACTCCTTTCCTCAGCCCAAGTGCCCTGCTCGCCAGGTGCCTAGAGAATCCTAACTCTTAGGACCAGGGATTGTCTTGCACCAAGTATGCCTACCCTGGCCAGTCTGAGGTCTCCTAGCCATAGAACTGACTCCTGGACGCCTGGAGAGAAGGTGGTGACGCCCGTGGGTTCTCAAGTGTAAGGAAAAAAGACACCAGACTTTTGTTCCCTATTGGGGGAAAGCCCTTAGTCTTCTCCAGGAGCAGCTTGCTCCCAAGTCCTTTTGGAAGCTGGCAGAGCTGTACTCCTGACAGCCTGACTGCCAGGTGGAGCAAAAGACGTTGGTGGGGGTGTGGGAAGCAAAAGGGGCAGGTGTACACACCTCCACAGTGACCTCTGTGCACACGGTTACCGCCAACTGGCTGACCCTCCTCTTCCCTGGCCCATTGATCATCCCTTCTCACAGAGGGTCATCATTATTTCCAAATACTGTTGGTCTGATGACTTCCTCTTCCCAGTGCAATTTTTCACTTCCTATTTCAACCTCTGGTTCCTGGGATGAGCCATACCCTGGAACTGTCCCGCCCGCTGTGTCTTCCGTGTAAGGGAGACCTTTGCAAATGGCATCCAAATGGGTAGGCAGGTCACAGCCGCCGTATTTATTTTGCATAATATTTTAATTTGTATATTTTTGTGATTTACTTTGGCGTTATGAGTTTGACTCTCGGGGAGTTTTGTTGTTATGACTCTTGTGTCTTTTGTCACAAAACAATGATAATATTTGCTAAAGGATATATGGAATTTATTTTTGATTGGTAATAAAAAATGAAATATGTATAAATCCTGGTGAGTCTACAACTTGCCTGTTTGTTCTGTCGCTATTTAGTGTGTTGTCAAGATAAAAGTGGCTGTGGCTGGCTGTCTCTTGTGACGGGGCAAGGGGCAATAAAGGATTCCAGGACCATTCAGCAGTGAGATGCAGTCGGAAATGGAGTTTCTAAATAGAGTCAAGGCTGTCCTCACAGGAGAGGGTCGTGACTGCTGGCAGACATATAGGACAGATGTGCTCAGCTGCCATGAGCATGAGTCCTGTGAAACAGACCCCACAGGGCCCTTGGCTTGTGAGTACTGGAAGGGCAGTGGGCTTCAGCAAATTGCCCCTCCTTCCTACCCATAGGACTGAAAGAAGCTTGATCTGAAAGTATGAGTAATACTGTTTTATAACATGCAGCTGCCTCTTCGTCCACACTTACAGGCTGCTTGTGGTTTCAAAGTTGGAGTGCTCATCCCTTGAGGGACCTGAGTTCCGTCACCATACCCACTCGAAGTCGCAGCTCTGCAGGGGACTCCTGTGGTGCTGTATAGCTGCTGCAGGCCGGCTTGTGCGACTGAGTGTGCTGAGACCAGGGGCTCCAAGCATGCAAAGTTTAATGGAGTAGACAGACTGGGGGCATCTAGGTAGGCAACAAAGAAAAGAGGATATTCCAGATAAAAGGGGTACACAGGCAAACGTTTGTGTATAGGGCAAGATTTGTAAATTATCTTCATCTGTTCCACACGTTCAAGCCCCTATCGCATGCCAGGTACTACCAACCCCTGTGTGAATTTAGTGAAGAACCTCCCCACCACCCCAAGGGGGACATTTGCTGTCTCCGTGACCTGGGACACGTCTCCTAAGTCTTGATGAGGCTCACCTCTTATTTCATTTAAGCCTCAGTTCAAATGCCATCTCCTTGAGAAGCCTTCCCTGATTAGCCCATCTCAATCAGCATCACCCCAGCATCTGTGTCTTGATCTTGCCTTTTTCCCTCCATAGCACTTACTACCAGATATTAAAATATAGACATTGGTATTGTGTATTGTCCTTGCACTAGAATCTATCCCCACAAGGGTAGAGACTTAATTTTATTCCCACTACAGTCCCGATACTAGAACAGTACCTGGTACATTGCAGGGACTCAGTGCAGGAAATACTCGTTGAATGAATAAGTGAATACATGTTACAATAGGGGAGGTACTGGATGATGTGGGGAGAGCACATAGCTCGATTAACCTTGAACCAACCTAGTCAAGAAGGTCAAGGAAGATCACCCGGAGGGAGCAGCATATGAGCCAAGGCTTGAGAGAGAAGCAGGAAGTAGCCAGTGGGTTTAAAACTCAAGAATAAATATTTAGATATAACATGGAAATGTCTTGATCCAAAAGAACACTAAGGAAAATGGCCCAGGGAGGGCCAACAATGGTCTGAAGGTCAAGTGGCTATGTCTCCATTGATGCCAACCAGGGGTGGGGTAAAGAATGGCACAGCCACAGGAGAAGCTGGTGAAGGACTGTCGAGGCCTCTACTGCAAATGGAAAACCACTCCAGGAGCAGGTTTGCGTGCCCCATACTGGATTGTTTTGTATCTTTGTGTACTGACAATTTAAATGACCACTTATGTTTTCCAAGTTTGATCCAGTTTTCTTCTACCTGAAGCTTTACTCCCAGAAAGTTAGTTATAGGTTGGTGGTTTTCCAAGGAAGCCTGAGACAAGGAAAAAGTAACATGTCAAAGATGAGAGCTCTGTCTCTAAATCCATGGGGAGTTTCTCCCCGCTTTCCTCTGGAACCGTTCTTTGTTAATGACTCTTCAGGCACATGACTCATTTCTTTTTCTTTTCTTTTTTTTTTTTTTTTGAGATGGAGTCTCGCTCTGTCGCCCAGCCTGGAGTGCAGTGGCGCAATCTCGGCTCACTGCAAGCTCCGCCTCCCAGGTTTACGCCATTCTCCTGCCTCAGCCTCCCGAGTAGCTGGGATTACAGGCGTGCGCCACCTTGCCAGGCTAGTTTTTGTATTTTTTAGTAGAGACGGGGTTTCACCGTGTTAGCCAGGATGGTCTCCATCTCCTGACCTTGTGATCCGCCCGTCTCGGCCTCCCAGAGTGCTGGGATTACAGACTTGAGCCACCGCGCCTGGCTAACGTGACTCATTTCAAGCATGTCATCCATTCTCTTTCAATGTCAGTATTTTATCTTGACTTGGAGACAGAAGTGAGAACTAAAGGAGCTGAATCTATTGTAATGTTTGCACTTTTGTTTTTTCTTCAGAGGCATGATGATGATCCAGTGGAAAGGCCCAGTAATGTCTTTATTGCTTCTGCTGGCGGCTTTACTCTGTAATCTGCAAAAGTAAGGTAAACTCAAAGGGCACAGAACATCATCTGGATAATGAAAACTGGAACACACAGAGATGCCCCATTGGCCTGGTCACAGCTCTGGGTTTACAATGCAGAAGAGACACTATTACCATCTTCTAAAAATACACTATTATCTTTTTTTTTTGAAATGGAGTCTTGCTCTATCACCCAGGCTGGAGTGAAGTGGCACAATCTTGGCTCACCACAACCTCTGCCTCCCGGGTTCATGCCATTCTCCTGCCTCAGCCTCCCGAGTCGCTGGGACTACAGGCGCCCGCCACCAAGTGGCACAATCTTGGCTCACCACAACCTCTGCCTCCCGGGTTCATGCCATTCTCCTGCCTCAGCCCTCCGAGTCGCTGGGACTACAGGCGCCCGCCACCACGCCAGGCTAATTTTTGTATTTTTAGTAGAGACGGGGTTTCACCGTGTTAGCCAGGATGTGTCTCGATCTCCTGACCTCGTGATCCGCCCGCCTCGGCCTCCAAAGTGCTGAGATTACAGGCGTGAGCCACCGCACCCGGCCCACTAGTACCATCTTTTAAAAAGTTTTTTACAGTCTTTTCTTTGGCCATTCACCACCAGCTTACTCTTTTCTTTTTTTTTTTTTTTGCACATTACTTTCCACACAAGTTTACTTTGTGGCCACAATGTACATACTTTATTTGAATGTTACTTTCATGACTAGCAAATTGTTCTATAGTCTTCATAAAGGTCATTTAAAATGACATGCGCAGTAAGTCAAAGTCTTCCTGTGCTAGGAAATTTGAAAAAACAAAAGCGTAGAGAAAAATACAAAATTACTGAATCTGAACATCTACAAGAGAAGTGTTAGCATCTGGTCTGTTTCCTTCCAATCACAGACAGATCATATCTAATGGGTAAAGAACCTTCCATACTGTCAACAGACCACACTGTCTTCTAAAATCAATTCACCAGTGCGGATCCTCTGGAATAGATCTTTTTTTTTTTTTTTTTTTTTTTTTTTTTTTTTTTTTTGAGACAGAGTCTCGGGCTTCAGTCGCCCAGGCGGAGTGCAGTGGCACGATCTCGGCTCACTGCAAGCTCCGCCTCCCGGGTTCACGCCATTCTCCTGCCTCAGCCTCCCGAGTAGCTGGGACTACAGGCGCCCGCCCGCCTCGCCCCGGCTAATTTTTGCATTTTTGTAGAGACGGAGTTTCACCGGGTTAGCCAGGGATGGTCTCGATCTCCTGACCTCGGGATCCGCCGCCTCGGCCTCCCAAAGTGCTGGGATTACAGGCGTGAGCCACCGCGCCCCGGCCTGGAATG